TATATATATATATATATATATATATATATATATATATATATATATACACACACAGCGTCTGTATTAAATGAATTGACCAGATTTGACAAATCCACATTAAATTCGGTTTCTATCACCGTTAGTATAAAATTGTGACCAGACAGTTTTATAAAGCTTCTAAACACCAAATATTTAAAATCACTGGAGTTGCGTTGGTTCTCCGTCTCAGCCAATATCTTGATTTCAGGTATTAGAATTAGTATGCAGAGAGAGAAAAAGGGGAATCCCTAATAAATCATAAATGTATAGCACTTGTGAAGGACCAAGCTTCACATTGCAGAAGCAACACAGGACCAAACACAATAAGATAAAATGGGAGACAATACACAATGTGATTACATTTAGAAAGCATACCCATGGATAGATGATGGATGGATATTATGGTTATATTAAAGTAACACAAAGTCTTCAGTAAGTAAAGCCATGTTTTTTTTTTAGGGCAATGGACGCCAGTTCTTCAAAACCCAAACTAGTGTTGAATGCTTTAGAATAGATGAAATGACAGAAATATCTATTACTTCATTTACAGCCGTGCCGTGCAAAATGTTCAGCGAGTCGACCAATAAGTGCGCCAGTTGTTTTCTTTAGTTATTCATTTGTTCAAATCCTATGCTGTCCAAGATTGAGCAGTCATGACTTCGACATGTTGTAAAGATACATTATTATAATAATAAAGGAAGTTGGCTGCTGGATGTCCTTTTAAACCAAATCTTCTAGGACTCTAAGGACTCCTTTAGTAGTACATAAGTCTTTACAGCTTAGTGTGCCTTTTCCAAACAGTTACAGCTATAAATATGAATATGTTTTTTTTTTCTATGAGCTGTATTTCATATCTCTCTTGGTGTAGGCGGAGGTCTCAGTCTGTGTGGATGTGCGGTGGGATAGCTGCCCGTAGCGGATCCTCCGGGACGTGTCTGGCTGAGTCAGAGTGTACCTATAATTCTGCTTTCATGTTTCTCTGCTGTGATTGACAGCTACTGCACCGACACGCTGCTCCTCCCGCCCTGAGGGGAGGGGGTCCTCTCACACCGCGCTGCTCTCAGGTGGAACCTCGGGGGCTACGGTGACCCTCGGTCACCCCAACTATCTAAAGCTAAGAGCTGCCGGATCGGCTGGTTAGCCTACTGCCATGACGTAGTGGTAACCAGCAGAGGTTGAGGGAGCAAACTGCAGTCAAGCTGTAGTGTTTTGAATTGAGATTTTGGCTCCTGGGATTTTCGGTTGCGCTCGCCATTAGTTTGAACACAAGATTTCCGATTTTCTGCCATTTGTCAACGTACCATCAAACTATGTGCATGGGACACAATTCAAGGATTGATTTGAAATCAATTTGCTTATTTTACAAACCAGCGATGAGCATCCATCAACTGTGGCAAGTCCTCATTATCAAGTGTTCTTTGACGACACTGCCGGTGTAATCTGGAGGAGGCTTCTGGTACGTTCTAGTCCTTTATTTTCCTGATATGTAATGCTGTACTTTGCAGAAAGTCACATTAGTTTGTGAGGAAAGAAACCCAAAGCGTTACAGATTACAGTATGCAGCAGTGGTTTATTTATAAACGAGACTACTACAAACGGTTAAATTAGTTTATATCCGATTTTACGATTCTGGCTTTGCAGCCATTTTGCCAGCGGTTTGTTGACACCTCTGTCGTTCTGTTTGCTAAGGGAACTAACTGTCTGAAGCCGACGCAAACGCTGTTTCCCACTCACCTGCACGTAATAACAGTCTGATCAATATGACGCGAACAAGCCACAAATTACCCGTAGTTTTCTCCGTAAATCAGCAGGGACCTCCCAAAAACATACAATATTGATCCCTAAGGCACTAACGCTAACAAGCTAACATCTGTTGTGATTCCTTGAGTGCTCCAATTCTGTTGTTTTTGGTGTTTTCTGGTTTGCTTTTTAAATATTGGATTATGTAGAACAGATTCCCTCCTTCCTGCTTCTGCAGTGTTTAGTCCTGGATGGTGTTGAGCTGCCTGTTGGTTGTTTAGCTGCAATCGTTAAACAACTGTAGTCTTATTGAGATTCACGTCACTTTTTAAAACGCCGACTTTCCAAATAGTGCCACACCTTAGATTTAACCTGCTTAGATCTCATCTTCATCCTCCATGTTTGTGTTTTTTTGCTTGTTTTCTAGTAATTTGAACCATCTCCTTATGCTCATAAACAAAGGAAGTTTGTGTATTTTCTTTGCCTTTCAAACACCTCGAACGTAATGAAAAACAATCCTATTTCTCAAAACACACAGAGCCTAAATGTATATTCTAGACTAGAGTCATAATTGCGATACAAAAACTGTTACATTCCCCTCCAGCCACCATTGAAAGTCTTGAGAGCAGCTTTTAGAACTATACAACCGTACACGAGGTGTGACTGACAACGTCCTCGCCTCCTTCACTGAGAAGATTAGGTGTTGAGAGTAAGTTCAATGTGTCTCTGATTAATGGGCAGATTGCATTTTTTTCAGCCACTTAATCTTGGGTTACACTGGCACTATAGTGTATGCTTTCTACATCATTATGTGGGTAATAGCTGGGCAGACATGTCTTGTTCCAGAGCAGTTCATAGTTTCAGAGGCACGCAAGCTCAGACTCATGGGAGCAGCAGCTGCCATAAACTCGTACAGCAGTTTGCACTGCATCTCAGCCATTTTTAGGACGGCTAACTACTGCCGCATGTGGGTGTTTCCATGTGCAACAGTATGAGTATGTGCATGTGTATTGCTCTGTGCCTGTATATCTAATTGGGCAGGTCTTAGCCAGTGTGTTTAAAATTCCACGGGAATGACACACACACACACACACACACACGCATGCAAACTGGGGTAATTCAGGGACACAATCTGGCTCATATTCTCTCCAAAGTGCTAATTTTGTTGTA